CAATCATCAATCAAGCTCAACTAGCCCCTAAACCAACTCTGATCAGCCCCTAATTAGCCCCTAAACATGCCATTGATAACCCATTGTCCTAATCAAGGCTTAGGAAGTACTTACTAGGAGTCCTAAGCTTAAGACAAGCAAGATCAGCTAATCAAAGTCAAGCCCAGCAGCTGCTGTTCCGGCGGCCAGACGGGAAGATCGGCGACGGCTTCGGTCACGGTGGTCCACGGTTGGGATGAACACAAGTTGGTGGTCACGGTGAGGGGTGGTGGCGGCTTCGGTGGTGGCTGATGATATTGGAAAAACGGCAAGGAAAGAGGGAGAAGGAAGAGGTGGTGGCGTGAGCAGCAGGATCGGCGACCGGCGACTGCTCCGGCGGGTCTGCAGCGGCTTCACGGCGGCTGGATAGAGGCTGGAGTGGCTGATCAGTCGGGCAAGGTGAGGGGGAATGGTGGTTCGGCCAAATGAGGGAGGAGAGAGTGAGAGAGAGAGAATGAATAGAGAGAGAGAATGGTCTTACTAACCCCACTACAAAACCCCACTACCAAGCCCCACTCCAATCCAATGGTCCACAATCAATCCCCTCCTCCAAGCTAAGATCCAATGGCTCATGATTTTTCTCCCACTAATTCCCAAAAATTACTAATGGCAAACAAAATAAAAAGACAAGATGAGGAGAGGTAGAATGGTCCACAATTTTCGGCCAAGGAGGGAAAGTCCAAATATTCAATTTGCCTTTCAACCTTTCAAATGAATTCAAATATCCTTGGGGGTAAAATGGTCTTTTTCCATACCCGGTTCAAATTACACTTTTCCGACAATTCTGAGCAGTCTAATAGTTGGCCACGCTTAATGAGACTACGTCCGATAAATTTTCGTTAAATCTTGAAAGTTGGACATCCTATTCCGGATTCTAATTCATGGCTAAAACCAATCGATCGCGACTTTAGTGTATCTCAAACTAATGGGCGGCTTTTAGGAGTTATGCGTATCGACTTGTGGTCGATTCGATATCGGGCCACATCTAAGTTTACTCAAGCCATGGCGACCTCGGTTGTCATGTAATTGCGAGGGTCAATTACTAGTTCCAATTGACGCGATCGTTCGGATTAGATTTAGAATCGTTCGAAATTCATACAATTGTCAAGCAGAATCACCCACAATCCAATTGTATAACATTTGGGAATCGTCCCATAGCTATCCTTGGATCGGTTTATAATGGCCCAAAATATCTCCTCGTCAATCCTTATGGTTGAAGTGTCGATCCACGGTCAAGTTCTTAGGTCCACGTACTTAATTCCTAGTTAGCCATTCCCTAATGGTTAGTCTTCTCAAGAATGATCAATTCCGAGTGAGATTTAACTAAAGTGCATCGAAAATGTAATCATTTCATAAATTCCGAAAATGGGTCGAATTTCAGAATGTCACATGCACTCATCCTTTGGTTAAGGTTTGTATTACGTGTGCTATATCTAAAGTCTATACTCATCAAGACACTTGATTGAGTAATGTTAAAAATTTAAGAATCGGCAATTTCTACTTTCCTCCTTTCCTCCATTATGTTTCGTAGAATTCTGCTTTGTTTCATTAGTTTTGTTTTGGAAATTGTATGTTTAAGGTCTGATTAAGAGTTAGGGTTTTGAGGTTATTAGGGTTTGTTTAGGTTTAGGGCTTTTCTTGAGGTTTGGGTTATTAGGGGTTATATAGGAGTTAGGGGGTTATTTAGGGTTTAGGTTTCGGGGGTTAGTTTAGGAGTTTATAAAGGGTTTAGGGATTACGTTTTGGCTATTAAACTTGCGTTTGCAGTTGTCCTTTGTATAGTTCTTATTGGGGGTTACGGAGGGGTTTAGGGGGATATTGTAGTTGGCCTAATGCATTTTTTTCATTTGGCTTTTAAATTGTATAATTGGTCAAACATACAACTTTGCACAACAATGTGTATTCGGTCAATATGCAACTTTGCACTTGCCTTTGCACAGTATTGTGGATATTTGCACTTGATTTTGCACCAAATGCACATTTGGCCAAATGACAACTGTGACATTCTGAATTTCGACCCACTTTTGGGATAAATGAAATGTGTATATTCTTCAATGCATTTGTAGTTAAATCTCGCCCGGAACTGATCATTCTCGAGATACTAATCTTTAGGGAATGGCTACCTAGGGAAATGTACGTGGACCTAATAACTCGACCATGAGTCGACCTTCGGTGATGATCGAGGTTGCCATGACTTGAGTAACCATAGGTCGATACACGTAAACCCTAAAAAGCCGCCCATTAGTTAGAGATACACTAAAGTCGTATTTAAGTGAAATTGGCCGTTATTTGAATCCGAACTTGGATGTCGAATTTCTCGAAGTGTCACGACTAATTTATTTGGACAACGTCACATAAGCGTGGCCAACCTTAAGGTTTATTGGATTTGTCGGAAATTTGGAATTTGGACCGGGAGTGGAAAATTACCATTTTGCCCTTGGGATTTTGTGAATGCATTTGATTAAGTGAAGGTTATAATGGTCTTTGGTTGTCCCTTCTCCCTCTAGTGTGGCCGAAAATCACAAGACAAGAATGCTCCCATCAACTTTGCTCATTTCCCTCTTTGCCCTTAGATATTTTGTGCAAGATGCAACCTTGGCCATTGATTCTTGGTGGATGTGATGTGTATTTGAATGTGAGCCCTTGGATGAGAGTGTGAGTAGGGTTGGTAGTTTGGTCTTTGTAGTGGGGTGATTGACCCACTCCCACTCACCAAAGATGATAACCTTTCTTGTCTCTCTCTCTCTCTCCCTCATTTTCCCCCTTCCCCTTTGCTTCAGCCGAATCCTCTCCTCTCTCCCTCTCCCTTGTTGCTCGGCCACCATTAGCAGCCACCGCCGGAGCCGCCGTCTAGCCGCCGTCCAGCTGCTGCCGCCCCTCGCTTTGTTTGGTTTTACTTAGGCTCTCTAGGTAAGTGTCATTCTAATCCTTGTCTAAGCTAAGGGGTTACCAATGGGCATATTAGGGGTTGATTAGTGGCTGTGGTTAGTTGGTTTAAGGTCTAGACAAATAGATTTGCTTGTTGGTTGTGTTCTCGGATTTCGTTATTGCTGTGCCGTCGAGTTTTGTTATTTTTTCCGAGACCTGTTTGAGCCGAATCTGGGGTAATGTCCTTCATGAAAGTTGTTCAAAACATCTTGAAATATAACATAATTTAATTTGGAAATTTTTTGGAAGTCATTTGAGGCCATTCAAAAGTCCATCTTTGGACCGAAATTAGTCTGCCGGAAACACTGTTCCTCCGACCTTCGGGTCTATTCGAATTTTTATAAATTTTTCTAGACCCATTTTCAAAATACTTCGTTCACAAAACTTGTTGGGACATTTGTGGCTATAACATATACAAATTTCAAAGCTTTCTAAGGAGATTTGGTTACTGCTTGAAATGCATTTTGAAAGCCGGATGGCTAGTCCGAACGAAATATTTTATGTCCGACTTTGGGTGACAAAAAGAGGTGGTTCTAGACAGAACTGGATTTTGTGTTCTTCATGAAAAATGTTCATCAGGATGTTGTCTACGACATATCCGAAATTCATATTTTTTGGAGTTGAATTACTATTTATTTTAAAAGGAATTCCATAACTGTGCCCCGGCCCAGATTTGCCTCGATTATGTGTATTCGGTTTTCTCTTCCTCTTGTGGCTGAATTGTGGTACTTGGTGGCTGAGTTGAATGTTGTGGTGCTTGGTGGCTGAGTCGAATGTTGGGATGTGTGGATTTATGCCATTGAGTATATAGCTTGAATTGTGGATTGAAAGGTGTTGGAATGATTGGGTGATATGGTTGAGCTACATTGTTGCCCTTATGAATGGATTGGTTGGGCTGAGTTGTTGATTTAGAATTGAGCATGCTTGTGTGTGATTAGGGCATGTGGATGTTGTGTGAAAGGAATGAGATATGTATCGCGTATGATTGATAGGCCCTGAGGCGTGTTGACGCGGAGAAAGGCATGAAATTGAACGAGGATGTACATTTGATCCTATAATCCTTGAGGCGTGTTTACGCGAGGAATTGGATTTGTCTTGAGGCGTGTTACGCGAGGCAATGCCTGGATAAACCGGAGAACCGCCGACTTGAGGCGTCCTTACGCGAGTCGTGCGGTGGACTTGATGCGTACTACGCAAGTCATGTGAAGTGGTGGACTTGAGGCGTGTTACGTGGGTCGGTAATGAATGAGGAGTTGTTGGATTGACTTTCTAATTGCATATGTTAGGAATTAGTGGTATTTTGAAATGTATGGACCATATGTGGTCTGATATGTTATTACGATCCAACTAATGTGCAGGGTTATATATGCATCGAGGTAAGGCTAGACTAGAGAGTGCCTTTGAATGTTATTGCATGTTGATTGAATGTGTTGGGTGTTATTCTATTTGTCTGGAGGTACTTGTTAGCCTAGGTAGGGTTTAGGGTGTTGCTTATTGAGACTCGTTCTCATGGTTATTATATAACCATTTCAAACCCTCGACCCCGACCATGAGTAATTCACCAGAGCGTTTTGGGATCCCGAGGCATACTAAGCACTCGGTGATGGAATACTCCGTAGGAGACGGGGAGGCCTATTGTCACGCCCCGAACCCTATCGAGCTCGCGACATCCCTCTTTGGTCGAATTAGTGCGACGTCCCAGGAAACGTCGCCGACCCAAATGATCACATCAGAGTTTGCACACGGCGGAAACAAGAACATAAACCCTGACAGTAAAATCATGGGGTAATAGGGAGAGATAATTCACCAAGCCACCAAAACATTATATTACACCTCGATATATGTACAATATCCATTCTCATCCATTACACAACCACTAGTCGCTTCGTGCTCTCACCAAATTTACATCAAACTATGATACACATACAAACTGGCTTCTACGGATCACGTCATCAACTCCAAAAAGGGTTAGTAGTCTGGGTATATTCTATTTTAAAAAATGGGACACTTCAAAAGGCTTGGCTACCCCTAGTCTAGCCCTTACGCCCTGTAGACGGCGTCCATTCCGATTCGGTCTCCCCAGAATCCGAATCTGAATCCTCCTGAGGCACGTGCTCCTCTGAAGACTCGGAGTCTGCCTTGATCTCGATCGGGTTATCCTCATCCCCCGACTCTAATGGCACCTCAATCCGTTCCTCTGATTCAGACTCTTCCTCCAAATTTTCCTTATACTCCTCTCCTGGTTCTTCCTCTGACTCCTCTTCTGGGTCCTCTTCCCGGGCCTCCTCATACTTCTCTTCGGGCGGCTCTTCTATAGATTCCTCCTTCGGCTCTACCCCTAAGTCCACATCCATCGAGTCATACCCAGCCTGCGACTCCTCCGGCTCTGGATCTGGCTCTGCCACTGAAGGCTCGGGCGCTGCAGGAGCATACTCATGCCCTGACTGTGCGAGACTAGTGTCTAAGCTAGTCATCTCGCCATCGGGAGGGGGTATAGCTGACGGGTCCCAGTCCCCCACTCCGTCAAAGGGGACATCAAAACCTCGGACAGGGCCAAACTTATCAAACCCATCCCGAAAACACCAGGCAGTATAGGTATGGGCTTGCCAGAGGGGTTGCCCTATGTCTACCCAGACTATGGTTGTATGTTTGATCCAAGCCATATTGTCATCTACCGGATACTCTACAACTGAATGCTCGGTGTGCATCAGTATACCAAAACGCTGGGGCGGTGGTGGCGATGGTGGATTCATGGTTCAGGGCGGGATTCTGAAATGATTTGATTAAACAACCATGAGACGAATCTCAATAAGTTGACAGCCTAAACCCCACTTAAGCTACCACGTATCTCCAAACAGGTCCAAACACACAATCATTCAATACATACGTATCATGCACACAAATGCACTTACCTGGGCTCGACCTGCATATTAGTCTCAAATACACGAATTTCAAACCACATGCACATACCAAGCTATTCCCATGCCCAAAAGCACATGTCGTACACACAACATTTCCGAACTCCACATTTCACACTCATTCATGCACTACCACACCATTTTCATTTAACTTGCCAACGACCCGCGTAAACACGCCTCAGGTCCGATCTCACTTTCACTTGCCACAACACACGTCTCATTCTCATTCTCTTTCCACAGCCCGCGTAAACACGTCTCAGGCTACACATTCTTATCGCGACCCGCGTAAACACGCCTCAGGCCTGATCACATTCTCACTTGCCACATCGTACATCTCATTCTCATTCTCTTTCTACAGCCCGCGTAAACACGCCTCAGGCTTCACAGTCGTATCACGACCCGCGTAAACACGCCTCAGGCCGGTTCAATTCCCCGCGTAAACACGCCTCAGGGATTTAGTGATCACGCGAACATGCCAACACGCCGTATTTTATCTGTACCCCGCGTAAACACGCCTCAGGGCTTTTTAGTGATCACACGCACATCACACACCTCAAATCTCACACTTACACATATTCGGGCATTAATCATACGCACCCAAATTCATCAAATCTGACCGTCATAATTCAGCCCACAATAAACATACAACCATCATACAACATGCCATTTTACATCGCAAACCATGGCACAACTATCACAGCACTACACAACAATTTCACGCAATTAATTGCCGAATCAAACATCCAATCTACGCGCCAAACAGAAAATTACAGCATTCAAACCAGTCAATCACAGCCCTTATTTGGCTTCTAATTTTCCCCCAAAATGCCACAAATTCATCCTTAAGGCCCCTCATCCAAATCAATCCCTAAATTACATTAAACCGCGTCTAAACGAGTCCGTTAATACCCGATATCCTAAATAGGGTTTAGATTGTAACTTACTTGAAATTTCCAAGCAAGCACAACCTATCCAAGGGCGACAAGGAGGCTGGGACGTGGCGGCTACGGCGGTCCGGCTGAACGGCGGTGATCGGCGACGGCGACGGTGGCTTGCTTGGCCGGCTAGTCACGGCCACGGGAGAGATAGAGATCGCCGAGAGGGAGGGAGAGAGACGGTGGTGGCGTGAGGGTGGTGAGGGCACGGCTCGGTGACCGGACGGGCGGACGGTGGCCAGGGACGGCGGTGATACGGCCAAGGGGAGAGGGGGGTGATCGGCCGGTGGGGGAGGAAGAGAGAGAGTGTGCCGAGAGAGAGGGAGAAATGAGAGAGTGAGAGAGAGAAAGAGAAAATGGCTTAAATATATCAATAATTGTCCCCCTTTTGGCAAAATGATCATCTTGCCCCTCTCTCTACTTTCCAATCGATGGCCACGATTCGTTCTTATCTTAAGATCAACGGCCGCGATCGAATCTTTTCCAAAAATATCCAGGGGTAAAATGAGAATTTCACAAAAATCCAAGGGCAAAATTGTCCAAAAATTGTCATTTCTAAAGTGAGGGTGAAATGACCAAAATGCCTTTCTCCCATTATACTTGGCCTTAACAAAGTCCCAAGGGTAAAATGGTCATTTTCCATTTCTCGCCGAAATTCGATTTTTCTGAAGGATCCAGACGATTCTAAGGCTGATCATGCTAATAACAACGTCGTCCAATGTCGTGACTTTCTAAATTTCCAATGCCCAACTTGATCTCTAATTAATGACTAAATTTTAAATAACGTAACTTGAGCGTATCTCAGACTAACGGGTGGCTTTTGGGGAAATTCGCATATTCAACCCATGACCGATACTAAATCAAGGGCAAAAGAACACTACAAGTGCCATAACTTGTGTACGGCGCTCACTTTGGTGCCATAAGTTTTTTTTTGGATCACTTTAGTGCTAAAATTTTTGAAAAACGATCACTTAAGTGCTAAAATTTTTGAAAAACGATCACTTAAGTGCCAACTCCGGTGCCGTACACAATTTTTCGCCGGAAATCCGACGTGGCATTTTTTTTATTAATTTCTGAAGCTGACGTGGCTCGCCGGAGATTGGTACTTAAGTGATCGTTTTTAAAAAATTTTAGCACTGAAGTGATCCAAAAAAAACTTATGACACTTAAGTGATCGTTTTTCCTCTGACTTGGCACCAAAGTGATCCGAAAAAAAGTTATGGTATCAAAGTGATCTCCCTACACAAGTTATGGCACTTATAGTGTCCTTTTGCCCTAAATCAAGCCACGTTTAAACTTACTCGGATCGTGACGACCTCGGTTGTCATGTAATCACGAGGATCGATCGCTAGTTCCGACGGGCACGATCGTTTGGTATAGGTTTAGGGTCATTCGCCAATTCATCTTGTGGTCAAACGGAATCACCCGTGATCCACTCGTATGACAGCGGCGAATCGGCCCATAACTATCTTCAATCGGCCTACATCGGCTCAAAATGTCACCTCGACAATTCTATGGTCGAAAATCAGTTCACAATCGAGTTTCTTTGGTCTCGCGAATTTAAATCCCTAATTAGCCTTTCCCTAACGGTTAGTATCCCATGAATGATCAGTTCCGAGCGAGATCTAACTACAAGTACGTTTATAAAATCATCCATTTCATAAATCCCAAGTGGGTCAAATTTTCAGAATGTCACACCTATATTAAGTATACTACTGTGGTGTGGGTAGATGTGGGTAGACAGACGCTGCAACCTAATACGTATCAGGCTTACTGTTATCAGGATTTGTACAGCACCTATGGTCCACTTCAGAACTGCGATGTTCCGTTTAATGGGGTAGGTGAGTAGGACCCCTCAACGGCTCTTGCTCCTGACAGTGTGGTCACGAGCACGGATGCCGCCCCCGAAGATTTCGACTCCTGGCCGGTGATAGTGGAGTCCGACTTCGACGAGGAGTCCATGGAGTCAGAGCCGGAGAAGGAACTGGAGGAGGCCATGCCAGAGCCAATGGAGTCCGATCCCTAAGAAGAGCCAATGAAGGAGGAGCCCGAAGAGGAACCCATGGAGTCGGAGCCTGAGTCTGCGAGTTCCGACTCGGATTGGGAGTCGTAGCGGCATTTTAGTGCTAGGTCTAGAAACCCTTTTTAGTGGACCCTTTTTGTATAGCTAGGCTAGCTTACCCGACCACCAGTCCCTTTTTTTATGAAGGTGGAGTTTAACCCTAGTGGCCTAACGTGTGTAAAGCTGAATGTTGTAAATATGTTATTGTATGAAGTACGTTGTTGAATGTTCAAGTGTTTTCTCTACTACCTTTAGTCTTTAATCTTATCTGGTGCTTTTAATCGTTTCCGCTTGCGCTTTATGTTTTGATGTTCGTGTGGGTCGGCGACGAGTCCTAGGACGTCGCATTCGAAATACGACTGTGGAGGGGTGTCGCGAGCTCGGTAGGGTCCGGGGCGTGACAACAACATTGCCAAGTACAGATATGCACTTTATCTAGGGACAAAGCCGAGTGAAGTGATGTGGTCAAGTGATCGTGAGTTGATAGCCTTCAAGCCACCACCTTTGCCCTCACCTCGGGAGTTCTGTAAAATGTGCGATGGAACCAGAACGTCACTCCATTTGGGCCACTAGACCAAGTGACCTGAATCTCAACTGTCGATTGTGGATGTAGCTGACATTCATCATGTCACTCCACTCGCCTTTCATCTTGACATTCATCATGTCACTCCACTCGCCTTTCATCTAGTCTGTCCTTTTTAGCGGGATTTAATGAGGCTGCCTTTAAATCGTTGATTTTTTCAAACGGTATAAATCCTAAACGTTCCTCCCAAGCTTTTTTGGCTTGACTTCCTTGGGTTTCTCATAGTTCATCTTTTCCTGAAACCTCCTCCTTTTGCACACTTTACTAGCAATAATTCTCTTCATTCAATTGATTGTTTTCAATGTTTAATTTACTGGTGGATTTGAGTTATAGGATCAACATTTCGCTGGTGAGTTACCTCAATCACTCAACTATGAACCCAATGGCATTAGGTACCAATTGGCTCGGCGGGAGACCTACTTCTCACCAAATTCTCACTGGCTAAGAGGGAATGAAAAATCTAAGCTTGGCCACTAATTGCTCTTTGAAGACGGCAATACTACCTGATCTAGGGGAACAAGCCCATTCCCCCTTTTCAGGAAGATGAAGCCTATAGCCGCTGAGAAACCTATACAACTCCTTAAACAATGCTAGTTCATCATGGGTAGCAGTCCTATCAATGCACCCAGTTGTAAACCAAGGGTCAGCTCTACGAGAAAATATTGGGTGCAGCCATGATTCCACACTGGCAAAATCCGAGTCACTCACCAGGCGACACGTGTCACCCGGTCCCTACCGCGTCAGAGTTGAAATTTTGAAAAAAAGCAAGTGTGACATCCTTAAATTTCGACTCTATTCAGGATGTAATGAATGGTTAATTCATCAATGCGCAATGAGTAGAATTAGGCTTTGAATTGATTCTGTAATCATTCAAGAGAATTCCAATCTCTGGGAAAGGCAATTTAAGATTTCAATGCGCGCGACCAAAAAACTCAATCATGGATTGACAATTCGATCATAAAGATCGTTGAGGGAC